AGTCTTTATTGGAATACTTAACATTTTTCTTGTGTTATTCAAATGAGTGATTTTTTTCCATGTCCAGATATGGCCAGACTGGTTCAGGCAAGACTTACACAATGGAGGGTGAAAGGTCACCTGACCCTGCCATTGCTTGGGACAAGGTCAGTTCTCCTGTCAGACATGAGTTGTTGTCTCTACTTCTCTGCTCCACTTGTCGGAGTGAGTCATGACTTAATTTTTCAGACCGAGCATTGTTTTTTCAACTTGACTTTGTGTAACTTTCCCCTGAACACAAAGCATGACTTTCAGTAGAATCCAAGGAATGAAAGCAGTTAGACCTGTCACTGTGTCAGTCAGTCACAAATTTCTTGTTTGTTCCAGGACCCTCTGGCAGGATTGATTCCTCGCACTTTGCACCAGATCTTTGATAAACTGAGCGGACAGGTAAGTTAAACTGATAATGTGATACTGAAGAGGGAGAACAACAGACGATAAACCGGACAGGGAGAGAGAGAGATATAAAGAGAGGGTAGACTGGTCTGCGGCATAGGGGAAACGTGGATCCGCAGAATACAAAGTACTTGTACAAAACAAAATCAGGTTACAGAATCGTTTTATGTGGCAGAGACTCATTTGCATATGAAGATATAGGACTGTCTAGCCATAGAAGCTAATGCTGAAGGGCTGATGCAAGTTACAATTTGTCCATGATTAATATTAACTGACCGAGGCCACGTAGGATATCCAGATGATGGTATTCAGATTCTCTGCTGCCCATTGTCTCATCAAGAGAAGATGAAGATACTATTTTGTTAGCATGTAAGTTGTAATGCGGACCATGGAGTATTTTGACTCCATGTGCAGACAAATTGAGATACCTGTGCAGAGGAATATTCATCATTTACCAAGGTTTTTCTTATAAAAATGTAACAGATCCCAGACAGCGTCTAACTTCATTTTTGTCTTCTGTTCTTTTCAGGCTGTGGATGAGTTTTTGGTGAAAGTCTCGTTCATCGAGCTTTACAATGAGGAGTTGTTCGACCTCCTTGGTCCGGGAGAAACTCCTCCTAAGCTCACTACTCTGTATGAAGACACCTCCAGAAAGGTAACAGAACTACAGCTTTCTCTTACTTACTTGTACTTGTTGAGGTCTCCTCGAGTTAGTCGTTCGAGTGGCCTGCGCACAGAACTCGTCTCTTCCTCAACAGTCCTATCCAGTTCTTCCTGTCTTTTGCTAACTCCTTTAGCTCCTCTAGAGTGGTGCTAGGCCTCCCAATAATCAGCGTAGCATCTTCCAGGACACAGTTAATCCATGATTTCCTAGGCCTCCCCCTTGAGCGTCGCCCATAATTAGGCTTCCAATCCAGTAAGTACCTGGGCAGCCGCTCTTCAGGCATCGAACCAGAATTCAGACAGCTTTCTCTACTAAGGAAAAATGTTTGCACTAATGTTCAGAGGTTATTTGGGCTGGTATGTCATCTTACTAAGGCCACACCAATTTAATTTGTTGGTTCTCGGATTTTTTCAGAAAAAATATGAAGCGACAGGGTGAAAAAAAATAAAAATAAAAACAGGTCTTGGCATCCTATTATAGGCTTAAATGCTATGAAATGAGCCATGAAGTCAACACAAAAGGCTGGGTTAAAATTTAAACATTGAATTTTGAACTTTTAATCATACCACTGCAATGATAGATGGGAAAACTGTAACAACTAGGAAGAAAAGGACTTTCATCAACTGTTCGGGGCAAAACATATTAAGCATTTTTCAGTTGATTCAGGACCAGAATCAATTTTTTTTTTTTGCAAATCAGAAAAAAACGAAGAGGCGAATCCGAGAACCAACAAATTAAATTGGTGTGGCCTAATGAGAGTCACTGCAAAAGAACCGGTACTTCAATTTTGTTCTGTTTAAATGCTGGGGCTGAATACATTCCCTGTATCCATAGAAATTAGAATTGGTGACAGAATGGTACGTGTTTGTACTTTTTGTGTATTGGAAGCAAGCACTTCCCCAATCCACACACCAGTAACCTTCTCTAAGTCTAACAACTTTCTATTCCTTCAGGGGTCTGTTGTCATCAAAGGACTTGAGGAGGTGAAAGTACACAACAAGGATGAAGTGTACTCCATCTTGGAGCACGGGTCGGCTAAACGTCAGACAGCAGCTACACTTATGAATGCCCATTCCAGCCGCTCACACAGTGTTTTCATGATCACTGTGCACATCAAGGAAACCACCATTGATGGAGAAGAGTTGCTAAAGATTGGCAAACTCAACTTGGTGTGTTATCCTTTCATTTCCAGGCATTTCCAAAATGTTTTAAGATAAGGCCACACTGATTTAATTTTATGGATGACATCCGCGCGCGCATTGATTTTCGCCTGTTCTACAAAAAAAAAAAAATCACGTCCTCCGAGGCCCTGGCCTGGCTGTAGGCCTTTGTAGCCCATGGTAGTTAGTGACAATATACGGAGCCGGTGGTAACTCTGGAGGATGGCACCAAGGCTGCCGAAGTACCAAGGCTCAAGAACTCGGTACATACGTACAGTGCCGATATTCGTAAATTCCGCAAAAAGCCGGCTTGTGCCGGCTTGACATGTAGGATGTAGATGTACGTCGCCGGGTACTGCCACAAATTCACAATACCAGCTTTGTATTCCTGTGGTTTTTATCTTTAGCATTTTTATTTTTGGCCGGATTTTTTTTTTATTCGCCCGCGCACACTAGTTTGGGGGTCTTCAGAGGATGTCATCCATAAAATTAAATCGGTGTGGCCTAAGGAGTAAAAGGTGCAATACAAGCTTTCTCTTTCTACACAAGTGCAAAAACAATGCTGCCTTGAGATTGTATGGCTACAACAGACAGTAACAATTTAACATTTATTGTTGAAATTATTGTTTTTTGTGTATTAATGAATGAATGAATGAATGAAGACCTTTATTGTACACACATACTGTACCCACTGGGTTAAGTACAGGTCACAAAAAAAAAAGGATGGAATATAGATAACGTTACATACATACATCGTCAAGTAGCGCTAGCTACAATCAAGTAAATTCGGTTTCTTCTCGTTTCTTAGTAATGGCAAAAACGTACGAACTATTGTTCAAGTCTCTAAGTCTGTACTTGGGTTCAGCTGACATCTTGGTTGTTGACTTAGGTGGACCTGGCTGGGAGTGAGAACATTGGCAGGTCTGGTGCCGTGAACCAGCGGGCGCGTGAGGCAGGTCAGTACAGTTTTTTTTTTTAAACCGAATTTAACGTCATTTTTCCCCAACTGGGGGTTAGACGTGCTTGCACCAGGTACAAGGCTTTTTTGAAGCAAGGTTTTTACGGCTGGATGCTCTTCCTAACACCAACCTAAACCCTAGTAGGGCCCAGGAACCCTCTAACCGAGGGGGGAAATGCGTGTTAAGTGCCTTTCCCAAGGGCACAACGTCTGGGTACATGTCCGGACCTGTCTGGGTCCAACCCTGGGGATTGAACCTGGGTCTTTGAACAGTCACTGTTGAAATTACACAGATGGTTAACCTGATCCAACTCGCTAGCTCTCTATTAGGGATAATTACAAGGTTATGAGTTCGTGAATAAGACAGTGCCCAAAAACGTGGTACTGAAACCACAGGTAAAGTTTCTACATTGACAGTAGAAGCAAGCAAACATTCAAAACTGTTTTCCCCCGGCAGGTAACATCAACCAGAGCCTGCTGACCCTGGGTCGTGTGATCACGGCCCTGGTGGAACACTGCCCCCCCACGTCCCCTACAGGGAGAGTAAGCTTACCCGGCTACTACAGGACTCCCTCGGAAGGCAGGACCAAAACCTCCATTATCGCCACCATCTCACCTGCTTCCTCCAACTTAGAGGTGAGATGGATTCTCCTGCACTTTTTTGCTTGCACCAGCCAGGTTGCCCTCAGCTCAGCTAAGCTAGTACCTAACACCCTGTATAATTCTTAAAATGCATGCCCAAACTTGGACATCTGGTGTACCTGTATCTAAACAAAATTCAACACTTGTGGGCACTATTTTTATACACTAAAGATAGGCAAACTACATCTCAAAGATGAGAATTTAGTGCTTGAACATCAGAAAAAACTTATAACAAAAATTTACCACTAAAAGGACAGTAATCTGCATGAATAACTTACAAATGATTGGCCAAACTTTAGGTACAGGTCAGAGTCTGTACCTAAACCCCTGTACAGGTACTTGTACCTAAATTTTTGTGTACACAACTCTAAACTAAACTAAATCTTTGTTAATCAGAAAACAAATTTGTGCCAGCGTGTCATTATAAAAGCTGGGAGTGCAAGAATGTGATATGGCCCAATGCCCTATGCCCTGTTTTTCCATCTACAATGTACTCCAGCGTTGGTATGCTTTACTTGCAGGAGACCCTCAGTACCCTGGACTACGCTCATAGGGCGAAGAACATAACAAACAGGCCAGAGGTCAACAGAAAACTCAGCAAGAAACACCTCATGAAGGTAGGAGTTGCATTATCTTAATTGCTAGTTTCTATACACCAGCAAACTTGAAAACCCTTGGTACTCTGATCAGCTTGTTGTAGTTTTATGATGTCAATGTTCACCAGCCTACACGTATTTGATACAGGAGTTTACAGAGGAGATTGAGCGCCTTCGACGAGACTTGGCTGCATGTCGGGAAAAGAATGGAATCTTCGTGTCTCCTAGAGAACTACACGTAGGTTGTTCCTTCCTGGTAGTTATCGCATAATCCTACTACATGCTACAGGTAATACTGTTGGTGACAAATAAACCTTGGTATTGTTATTAGGGATCATTGTGGATTGATTGATTCTGGTTATTATTACATTGGATGGAGAATGCATATCGTCACATCTGATGAAAATCTAGGTCTTCGGATATATAACTTTGTGTTGTTTTGCTTTCCAGTAAATGTTTGGTTTTGTTCTTACATATTTCAGGAACATGGAAACAACCATCAAATCTCAA